GCCCTTCCTGGCCTTCAGGACCCCTCCTGTCCCCCCCCCAAACCCCAAACCACCTCCTCATCCCTGTCCCTGCCTCCCCCCACCCCCTCCCAAATTACTCATTAACGACCCGCAGTAATTAAAAAAATCTCTCGGGGAAGGCGCCCGGCAACAGCTTGAGGAATAAACCGTTTATTTCAGAATAAACACTGCCAAAAAAAATGTCCAATTAGAGAAAAATTCGTAATGGGAGGGGTGATGCGGGGGGTGGGGAGAGTTAATTGGTAATTAGGGGTAATTTGGGGCAGTATAATTAAAATCGCACCCAGATTGGGTGGTAAAAATACAGATAACTCCATTAATACTTGTAATGTGGCTAAAAAAGAGGCAATATAGAGAAAACAACCCAAAATTGTGCAGATGAACAGACGAGCGTCATCTCGGTGGGTTCATGATGGGAAATGACACCCCCCCCCCAGGCAATTAAGGCACAAATTAGGGGTTCAGAAGGAACCCCCCAGACCCCACTCCTGGCTCTGGGGTGTCATCTCCTGCATCTACTGGTGGCCGCCCTTCCATTCCTGTTGTCCACCGTAGATGGTCCATGGATCTCTCTTGGTGGAGACCCAAAGATGCGATGGGGGAGGTTCCTTCAGGAGCAGCATCTCACGAAGTCCACCTACATCCACGCTTCCACCATAGGCAACATTTCCCAAGTGCCACCAGGCTTGTAGGTGACATTCGGTGGCATCATCCCAGGTGACTTCATGAATTTCAGGAAGTCGACTTCTGGTGTCACTTTCTCTTGAGGTTTCCACAGCAGGTAGACTTCTGGAGTCACCTTCTCTTTAGCTTTCAGCTTGTACCTACAGCAGGAAGACTTCTGGTGTCACCTTCTCTTGAGGTTTCCACAGCAGGTAGACTCTTGGTGTCACCTTCTCTTGAGGTTTCTGCTTGGACCTACAGCAGGAAGACTTCTGGTGTCACCTTCTCTTGAGGTTTCCAAAGCAGGTAGACTCTTGGTGTCACCTCCTCTTGAGGTTTCTGCTTGGACCTACAGCAGGAAGACTTCTGGTGTCACCTTCTCTTGAGGCTTCAGCCTGGCCCCGCAGTTGGGTTTGAAGGCAACTCAAAGCCAAGGAGACATTCCCTTGGGTTACCCCTAAGCTATTTAGTAATTACGTGGTCACCATAAATTGGATGTTCTCATGAAGGGAGAATGTTTGGGGTCAACCACAGCCTCAGCCCCACCTTAAGTAACGATGATTGCAGGAGAAAACGAAGGTTTCACAGCGAGGTAGTCATTGTGTCAAGCTTATTGACCAGGACTTTGGCACCAACACCACCAAGAACTTCCGTGCCCAGCCCAAAAAAGCCCCTCAGGTCCCTCAGTTGAGGTTCCTCATCAATGGGAAAAAATAAGGTGGGTCCAGTCTGAATGTATTTATTAATACTGTCCTTAAAATGAGTAAAGTGAGCAATTTGGGGTCCAAAAGTTGTCATTATGATGTTTTCGTTTCCAAATCTCCTTACTTTGAGGATGAAGTTGAGGTTGAGTTGGGAAGGACGGTGGGAGGACTGGTCATGATGAGTTTGGGAGGGGATGGACTTGGCGATGAGGGTTATCGGGTAGGACACGGGGCGCATCTTCTTTGGATGAGCAATTCGGACCAACTGATGGACTCGGAGCATCTCAAATTCTTCTACTGTTGAGCCGTGGAAGCACCATCTGGACTCGTTGACTGACCATCACCCCCAACCTCTTCTCCTGCTCTCGGCCGGGTCTTTCCTCGCTCGGATGCATCCCGGGAAGCGACGCCGGCCCCGTTCCTCCTGTGGATCTCCTGGTGCCTCGTGCGGTGGGAGGCCTGGCGGAAGGTCTTTTGGCAGATGGGGCAGGTGTAGGGTTTTTCTCCCGTGTGGATCCGCCGGTGGGTGACGAGGAGAAAATTGGAGTGGAAATTTTTGCCGCAGTCGGAGCAGCGGAAAGGTCTCCCCTCGGTGTGGAACCTCTGGTGCTTCAGGAGAGCCGCGATGGCGCCGAAACACTCCTGGCAACTGGGACACTTGTAGGGTTTCTCCTCGGTGTGGCTCCTCCGGTGTCTCCGAAGGGTGGAGCTGTCGTTGTAGCACTTCTCGCAGTTGGGACACTTGAAGGGCCTCTCCCCCGTGTGGACACGTTGGTGCTTCAGGAGGGTGGCGCTGTGGCTGAAGGCCTTCTCGCACTTGGAGCATCTATAGGGTCGTTCTCCGACGTGGGTGCCCCGGTGAAGGACCTGAGCTGACTTTGCATGGAAGCTCTTAGGACAGTAGGGACATTTATAGCGTCCTTCCCCTTGGTGGCCTCCCTGCAATGCCCTCTGCTTCTTCTCCATGTGCATCTTCTTGTGTTTGATGAGCCCAGAGCTGTCCGTGTAGCTCTGCCCGCAATCCAGACATTTGTAGGGTCTCTCCCCCGTGTGGCTTCGCTGGTGTCTCGTAAGGTGGGAGCTCAACCGAAAGCTCTTGTTGCAGTCGAGGCAGCGGTAGGGCTTCTCCCCGGTGTGGATTCTCCGATGGGTGAGGAGGTCTGAGCTCATGATGAAGCTCTTCCCGCATTCGGGGCACTTGTAGGGTTTCTCCCCGGTGTGGACGCGGTGGTGAACGATGAGGGTCGACCTCCGGTTGAAGCCCTTCCCGCACACCGAGCATTTGAAGGGCTTCTCTCCCGTGTGGATCCGCTGGTGGATGGCCAGGTACCTCCTCAGGCTGAAGTTCTTCCCGCAGGCGAGACACTGGAAAGGGTTGTCCACGCTGTGGGTGGCTTCGTGGGCCAAGAGGTAGGCGCTCAACTGAAAGGTCTTCCCGCAAACCAGGCAGACGTAGGGCTTCCCCCCGGCGTGGATCTTGCGGTGGGTGCTGAGGGTGGAGGTGAGACGGAAGCACTTCCCGCAGTCCCCACACTTGTAGGGTTTCTCCCCCGTGTGGATCCGTTGGTGTTTGTTGAGGGAGGAGCCAACGCGGAAGCCCTTCCCGCACTCGTGGCAGGTGAAGGGCTTCTCACCCGTGTGGATGCGCTGGTGGGGGATGAGGAAGGACCTCCGAGTGAAGATCTTCCCGCAGTCGGGACAGCTATAGAGGCCCTTGTGCATGGCCTCTTCCGCCTTCTCTGCCACGTTCTTCCTGCTCTTGCCGCGGCCGTAGGTCCTCTTGGTTGCACGGCCCCCGTGGCGCAGCCGCCCACCCTTTCTTGGTGATGGGCGTCCACGGGAGTCATCGCTCGGTTCTTCAGAGCCTTCTTGTGGTTGACCCTCACACTCGCGTTGCGCCGTTGGGTTTGGCTCTTGAGGGATCTCCACCTCACACGGGTCCAGACACAGCTCAGACCCTTCCGGTTCCTCCAGGCCGTTTTCCTTCCCATCCGCCATCCTGTCAGCTGAAGGAACGAAGGTCCCAAGCCCAAGTCAGGGCTTTGCCAAAGCTCCCGTGAAAGTTTAAGCCTCTGTCCCCCAAATCTAGAGGCTCTGATGGTACCGCAGGGGGGTGGTGGTGACCCCAGGCTCCAACCCCACACCGACGGAGCTCACAAGGCATGAGGACACAAGGAAAGACCATGGGAAGGAGATCTTTTGAGGGCTACCCTACAGAGAAGGTCCATGTGGACCTCTGGGCAGAGGAAGCACCATCGTGCCCTTCTCCTCCCCTGCTGCCCACCTGCCCGAGGAGCTTCAGCTCCATGCCACCCCTTCGCACCACATCCACAGTGGACCTCTTGCTCCACCAGAAGACCAGGAGAAGAAAGGCATCGATGGGGTCCCACGTTCGCTGGCACCCCACAGATGGGACGGGACCAGCCACCCCCTCACCGCGTGTCCCCCCACCATGACCAACCACCAGCACCCATCTGGACCTGGTGGTAGAACCCACCTGTTGGGCAGGACCCAACCACCACCACCGCTGCCCCACATCTGCCTCCCACCCCAGCCACCCCCGGGACCCTCGGAGCTCAGCCCCACGGCGCGAGTGGGGCAGAGAGGGGTCCCCCCTCCCCGGTCACCTGCGGGATGCGGCGAGCCCAGGCTGGGGACTCGGTGGTCCTGGTGGAGGTGGCTCCTCGTGTGACCCGGATACAATGAGGAATGGAGCCGCCTCCTCCCTCCTCTTCCTCCACCTTTTCCTCCTCCATCCCGCCTCTTCCTGCTCCTCCTCCTTCTCCATCCCTCCTATTGCTCCTCCTCCATCCCTCCTCCTGCTCCTCCTCCTTCTCCATCCCTCCTCCTGCTCCTCCTCCTCCTTCTCCATCCCTCCCCCTTTGTCCTCCATTCCTCCTCCTCCTGCTCTTCCTCCACCCCTCCTCCTCTCCATGTCTCCTCCTCTTATCCCTCCTCCTCCTCCATGGCTCCTCTGCCTGCTCCATCCTCCAACTCCTTCTGCTCTTGCTCCTCCTTCATCTCTCCTTCTCCATCCCTCCTCCTTCTCCTCCATCCCTCTTCCATCTCTCCTCCTCTTCCATCCCTCCTTCTCTTCCTCCTCCTCCATCCCTCTTCCTCCTCCACCTGGGACCGGTGCCCACCCTTGGTCCCCTTCCCCACCCCAAAACTCACCGCATCCCCCCGGATGGGGCAGCACCTGGGGGTGAACCAGGGAAGGGGAAAAGTGAGAAAACTTGTGAGCGGAGATAAAAATAGTTTAATAAGAGAAGGAGGAGGAGGATGAAGAAGGAGGAGGAGGAGGAGAGAGAGGAGAAGGATGAAGCTTGAAGCATGAGGAGAAGGAGGGGGAGGAGGAGAAGAAGAGGGAGAAGGTGGAGGAGAGGAGGAGGGAGAAGGAGAAGGTGAAGGAGAAAGGAGGAGAAAGGAGAAGAATGAGAAAGAGGAGGAGGGGAAGGAGAAGGAGAAGGAGAAGGAGAAGGAGAAGGAGAAGGAGAAGGAGAAGGAGAAGGAGAAGGAGAAGGAGAAGGAGGAGGAGGGGGAGAAGGAGAAGGAGAAGGAGAAGGAGAAGGAGGAGGGAGAGGAGGAGAAGAAAAGAGAGAAGGTGAAGGAGAAAGAGGACAAGAATGAGAAGGAGAAGGAGGGGGAGAAGGAGAAGGAGGGGGAGAAGGAGAAGGAGAAGGAGGAGAAGGAGGGAGAGGAGGAGAAGAAAAAGAGGGAGAAGGCGAAGGAGAAAGGGAGGAGGAGAAAGAGGATAAGAAGGAGAATGAGGAGGAGGGAGAAGGAGAAGGGAGACAAGTGTTGCCCATGGGGTTGTCCCACTTTGGGCTGGAGAAGGAGCACAGGACAGGATGGAGCCCCAGGAGGTGGTTGATTGGAGACATGAGCTGATAGAAACGGGCAGCTCTGAGCCCAACCTCCTCCATCAAAGGCTCGAGGAGGAGCTCTTGGTGGTGACCACGAAGGGTCCTCAGCCCCTCAAAGATCAAACTGGGTTGTCAAGTAGCCCACCCAAACCCTGGAGGAGATGTAGTCTCCACGCAGGTGCATCGGGCCACCATCCTTCTTGGCTTTCATCTGTCTCAACTCAAGGATGGAGTCCTCATCTCCACCCCCACGGTGGATAAAACCCCTCCGCGACCCACACCACCGTGGTGACAGGGTGGGGTGGACCCCTTGAAGTTGTCCCCATGGGCACCACCTTCTCCTTGGGGCAGCGCTGGACCACCAAAGGTTGCCCCAGGCCACCGGGCTCTTCCTCCCCGAGGAAGATGATGCGTGGCGCTGGCAGCCGGATCCGCCCCGATCCCGGCTCCGTGACCTACTTTAGGTGTTTACCAGGATGGAGGAGAGCGGGGAGGGGTGTCCCCCCCATCCCCCCCCCCGCATCTGCTCATCGGCTTCAAAGGGAGCCCGGCCCGGAGGGTGCTGAGCACCATCCATGGGGTGCAGCTGGAAGGGGCTGAGCACCATGGACCACCCCCAGGAATGCAGCTGGATGGGTGCTGAGCTGGATGGTGCCTCTAGAAGGGTGCTGAGCACCATGGACCATGCACAAGGGGCTTCTAGAAGGGTGCTGAGGAAGGTTGCCCCAGGCCACCGGGCTCTTCCTCCCCGAGGAAGATGATGCGTGGCGCTGGCAGCCGGATCCGCCCCGATCCCGGCTCCGTGACCTACTTTAGGTGTTTACCAGGATGGAGGAGAGCGGGGAGGGGTGTCCCCCCCATCCCCCCCCGCGTCTGCTCAGCGGCTTCAAAGGGAGCCCAGCCCGCAGGGTGCTGAGCACCATCCATAGGGATGTAGCTGGATGGGTGCTGAGCACCATGCACAGGGTGGAGATGGACACCATGCACAGGGTGCAGCTGGAAGGTGCTGAGCACCGTGGACCATGCAGAAGGGGCTTCTAGAGGGGTGCTGAGCATCACACAGAGGGTGCTGAGCTGGATGGTGCATCTAGAGGGCTGGTGAGCACCATGCACAGAGTGGAGCTGGAAAGGTGCTGAGCACCCAGCACAGGGTGGAGCTGGATGGGTGCTGGAGACCGTGGACCATCCACAAAGATGCAGCTGGAAGGGGCTGAGCACCATGAAGAGGGATGCTGAGCACCAAGCACAGGGTGGAGCTGGATGGGTGCTGGACACCGTGGACCATCCACACAGATGCAGCTGGAAGGTGCTGAGCACCATGAAGAGGGATGCTGAGCACCAAGCACAGGGTGGAGCTGGATGGGTGCTGGACACCGTGGCCCATCCACAAAGATGCAGCTGGAAGGTGCTGAGCACCATGGACCGTGCAGACGGGGCTTCTAGAGGGGTGCTGAGCATCACACAGAGGGTGCTGAGCTGGATGGTGCATCTAGAGGGCTGGTGAGCACCATGCACAGAGTGGAGCTGGAAAGGTGCTGAGCACCCAGCACAGGGTGGAGCTGGATGGGTGCTGGACACCATGGACCATCCACAAAGATGCAGCTGGAAGGTGCTGAGCACCATGGACCATGTACAAGGGGCTTCTAGAGGGTGCTGAGCATCACCCAGAGGGTGCATCTGGAAGGGTGCTGAGCTGGATGGTGCTCTACAAGGGTGCTGAGCACCCAGCACAGGGTGGAGCTGGAAAGGTGCTGAGCACCATCCATGGGGTGCAGCTGGAAGGTGCTGAGCACCATGGACCACCCACAGGGATGCAGCTGGATGGGTGCTGAGCTGGATGGTGCCTCTAGAAGGGTGCTGAGCACCATCCGTAGGGATGTAGCTGGATGGGTGCTGAGCACCAAGCACAGGGTGGAGCTGGATGGGTGCTGAGCACCATGGACCATGCATAAGGGGCTTCTAGAAGGGTGCTGAGCATCATCCAGAGGGTGCATCTGGAAGGGTGCTGAGCTGGATGGTGCTCCTAGAAGGGGGCTGAGCACCATGCACAGGGTGGAGCTGGAAAGGTGCTGAGCACCATGGACCATGCATAAGGGGCTTCTAGAAGGGTGCTGAGCATCATCCAGAGGGTGCATCTGGAAGGGGGCTGAGCTGGATGGTGCTCTACAAGGGGGCTGAGCACCCAGCACAGGGTGGAGCTGGATGGGTGCTGAGCACCAAGCACAGGGGGGAGCTGGATGGGTGCTGGACACCGTGGCCCACCCGCAAAGATGCAGCTGGAAGGTGCTGAGCACCATGGACCATGCATAAGGGGCTTCTAGAAGGGTGCTGAGCATCATCCAGAGGGTGCATCTGGAAGGGGGCTGAGCTGGATGGTGCTCTACAAGGGGGCTGAGCACCCAGCACAGGGTGGAGCTGGATGGGTGCTGAGCACCAAGCACAGGGGGGAGCTGGATGGGTGCTGGACACCGTGGCCCACCCGCAAAGATGCAGCTGGAAGGTGCTGAGCACCATGGACCATGCATAAGGGGCTTCTAGAAGGGTGCTGAGCATCATCCAGAGGGTGCATCTGGAAGGGGGCTGAGCTGGATGGTGCTCTACAAGGGGGCTGAGCACCCAGCACAGGGTGGAGCTGGATGGGTGCTGAGCACCAAGCACAGGGGGGAGCTGGATGGGTGCTGGACACCGTGGCCCACCCGCAAAGATGCAGCTGGAAGGTGCTGAGCACCATGGACCATGCATAAGGGGCTTCTAGAAGGGTGCTGAGCATCATCCAGAGGGTGCATCTGGAAGGGGGCTGAGCTGGATGGTGCTCTACAAGGGGGCTGAGCACCCAGCACAGGGTGGAGCTGGATGGGTGCTGAGCACCAAGCACAGGGGGGAGCTGGATGGGTGCTGGACACCGTGGCCCACCCGCAAAGATGCAGCTGGAAGGTGCTGAGCACCATGGACCATGTACAAGGGGCTTCTAGAGGGTGCTGAGCATCACCCAGAGGGTGCATCTGGAAGGGTGCTGAGCTGGATGGTGCCTCTACAAGGGTGCTGAGGACCAAGCACAGGGTGGAGCTGGAAAGGTGCTGAGCACCATGGACCACATACAGGGGGCTTCTAGAGGGCTGGTGAGCACCACAGAGCGGGTGGAGCTGGATGGGTGCTGAGCAATATGGACCATGCACATGGGTGCAGGTGGAAGGTGCTGAGGACCATGCAGAGGGTGGAGCTGGAAGGTGCTGAGCACTGAGGACCGTGCACAAGGGGCTTCTAGAGGGGTGCTGAGCACCACAGAGCAGGTGGAGCTGGATGGGTGCTGAGCTGGATGGTGCCTCCAGAAGGGTGCTGAGCCCCACGGACCATGCAGAGGGTGCTCAGGACCCTCCCCGGGGACGCTGCTGGACACCAGGGCCCATCCCCAGGGATGCAGCCGGATGGTGCTGAGCGTCCTCTGTGTGGCCGTGTCCCCGCTGAGCACCATGGACCACATACAGGGGGCTTCTAGAGGGCTGGTGAGCACCACAGAGCGGGTGGAGCTGGATGGGTGCTGAGCAATATGGACCATGCACATGGGTGCAGGTGGAAGGTGCTGAGGACCATGCAGAGGGTGGAGCTGGAAGGTGCTGAGCACTGAGGACCGTGCACAAGGGGCTTCTAGAGGGGTGCTGAGCACCACAGAGCAGGTGGAGCTGGATGGGTGCTGAGCTGGATGGTGCCTCCAGAAGGGCGCTGAGCCCCACGGACCATGCAGAGGGTGCTCAGGACCCTCCCCGGGGACGCTGCTGGACACCAGGGCCCATCCCCAGGGATGCAGCCGGATGGTGCTGAGCGTCCTCTGTGTGGCCGTGTCCCCGTGTGTCCCCCCCCACCGTGCGGGCGCTGGCGCTGGGAT